GAGATAACGTCCTCTAGTCGGTTATCCCGTTCTTATTGCCCCCATCTTTCCTTGATTGCTGTGTGTGTGGAAAACTTTGGAGCTCTCTCACTGATGGAAATTGATTTTGTCACTGAAAACGAAAAAGTTACAATACGTCTTATTTGGAGACGTATTGTTGTTGTTGAGGCTTAGTTACATCGGCACGGAAAATTTACGAACGATGTATTCGTCTACTCTCAACTGGAAACATATTCCATTAGGTTTTAATAATTAAAAAATAATCATGTAGGAGAGTATGAGGAGAACTATTCTAAATAAGTAATCAGAGGGCGCCGAGAGAAGCGGCGGTGGCGGTGAAAAGCGACGGCGGCGGCGGCGGCGGCGGCGCGGGCAGCGGCGGCGCTCACGTATGAACGTAATTATAAAAATTGAAGGCAACTTGAGACCCACTCCTTGGGTCTCTCCCTCACTCCCGCAGCGCCGTGCATTTTTTCGTACATATTAAAGTCCCTGCCGCCCGCTGCCCGCGTCACTTCGCCCCGCGACTCCTCTTTTTAATCGATTTTTCCGACACAAGGGGTGAGTCCTCTGGGGTGAATGTAATTTTTTATGCGTTTTTTTCGAAGGAGGAGACCGTCGCCGGAGGTGCCATTACGCCACGGCTTGTTGAGAATATTTTAATTATAAAGCATTAGCGCGTTTTATGATACCACTCGCGTTCGAATTTATAAACGATCGAGAGCTAAAGTAATTAAATATTTGAATGCGGTGAGATTTCCGCGGGGAGTTGGAGGAAGCTGGGATAATGGACGTGGCGGGCCGTCCGCTCGCGCGTTAATATGATGGATATAAAATTCGATGAAATTATTGGTTAATGGCCTTTAGAATTGCTTTGGGGGTGAAATGATGTTTCAGCATTTTCACGTAGAAATTACATTTGTTTGATAACATTCGTAGACAGGAATAATTAATTGTTGTTTACATTCGAGTAGTTTCTACTTAAAAAATGTTCGCTGTATCCTGTTAGTGGAGATAGTGTAGTGGCTGATTGATGACTGTAGTCAGTCGAGACGACCGCTCCCTGCTTCCCTCCTTCGTACGATTATCGCTTTAGATTGCGAGACACTTTATTTGTTCAGCAAAAAACAAGGTTTTTCAATTGATTCCTTTTGTGATCCCATCAGTGTTAACTTGCATTAAAGTAGACGGAAGGATAAGATTTAGTTATCATCCGAATACGTTAACACAAACATACACTTACTTGAGACAAATCTTATAATTTTTGTCACATATGCATACAAACAAACCACAGTATCTAGAAGAAGAGTTTTCAAAAGAAAATGTCTTAAGACACATGACAACTGACCATGTTTGCTGGTAGGGGCTACTAATTCGATTAACGCAGTGAACACGGTACAAAGCGGATTCACGTATTTACACTGGTACAGGCGACGGTGGAAAACGACTGACACCTAGGGTTTCATGCCAACTATCGACTTAAAGGTGTTAGCGTGCCCATTTGTTGTGTAAGTGGGTTATAATGCTCGCTGGATGATATTAACACTTCGAGTACAGACGACGGATAAAGTAGGTTAACACTGGTCCGAGACATATTTTCATTGTCATTTGTTAGGAAATATTTTGATTGAATAGTTCATCTGTAGAGTCCACATCGTTAAAACTTCCAAAATGTAAATATTTTGGAAATGGACAACGTTTAAAACATACTATCAGACAGAACACTATGCTTCTTAAAAGCCTTTTCGCCAATTGTATTATAAATCCTATGAAATAAATATCAGAATACCAACGACCGTGCTATTGATATTTTTTTTCTGAAATCGAACAGCAGGACCGGAAAAGCACCTCGCTGACAGGTGTCAATAGGCGAGTAACGTGTCTTTGGTTAAACACGTTATTATTTCATTTAAATTACTACAGAATACAAGTCAGTAGACACACGTACGAACCAAAACAAACACCAAGATCAAACCATCACATCTCTAATCAACATACAAGTAATCACACAGGTTCGTTACACCGTTGACACAGAATCTTCTAAATAATTGCCATGCAAGATCGATCTCATACGTTTCCCGGAGCCTACAAACAAGGACTCAAGTTCAAGACTAAGGTCCGTTAGTCTAATTGCTTGGACGAGTCGGACAGTGATGGGACAGACGGCTGTCCGGGCGTCGTGTCTGGGAGAAACGCACGTAGAATACACTGCTCCGATAATGTTTAGCTCTGCGAGATTGATTTGGTGATAGAGGTTTATGTAAATTTCTGCAATGTAGGAGCAAAGGTTGGGAATGTTGTTACAACGAACAGTAGTAATGAGATTACTTTGTAAGTAAACGTAAGTTTGAATACATTTTAGAAAAGTCTAAGGTACTCGTTAATATCATGGCTGTATCAAATAATTGAGAGATTTTTATTGGATTTTTTATTAATATTTCTACTATGTGGTTCGTAAGATCAGCAATCTGAGAGTGATATCACTTTATCCTGTAGGGATTTCTAGTTTTTCTCTGACACTCGTTGACGCATCACATCATTAAAGACATTAATATAAATTTTTCTATCACTGCATGACTCCTAAATGTACCGAAACTAAAGGAGCTTCAGGATTATCCTAATTATGTTTCTTAGAATGTGCATACCTATTCAAAATTACGTTTAAATACCATTAGTTAAAAGTTGACATTCGAGTATCACGTTTGTTTTTAAGTATCACATTTCTTTCTAAACCCTAACTTATATTGTCAATTACTAACAATTGCTAAAAATACCATCAGATATCACCAGTCATTATATTTTGGTTTAATCACCATCCATCAACCATTGACCACAGGATCATATTCTAGACCAGTGTACCGTGAACTTCGATAAATTGATGTCTGTTAGTACGACGTGTTTGGGGAGACATGACTACTGATGACTTGCGTAAAACAATTTACAATGATTTTTGGTACGGTTATTGGAATTTGGAATTAGAATTAAGAAGGTCAGATTTGTTTGCTTGTGCCCTTGTGATGACTACTATAAATTATTTTTAATGAAATCTATGACATCAAATCCGACTAATAAAATAATAATACGAACTCATTCGTTAGTACAAAATATATAAAAAAGAACAAAAACCTTAACAATACATCTTAAATATCTTCGAAAGAAAAAGAAGATACTTAATCCCTTATAAAGGAGTTGACGCAATGCTCAAAAGTCGGGCAGTTCCAGCGAAAGTCTACATAATGCGCTGTATAGTCCAATAATAGCATCCTTAATGAGATGTAAATGAGCGAAGAAATACCCGACTCAGGCCGTTATAATAACACGTAACGACCTACAAGTCCGGATTAAGAAGCCCTTTGACTTAAACTTGCCCACCGGACCAAGTGGACGACCTAACCCTAAGAAACCCAACGGATAATCAACTTTACCACTCACCATAAAGGTCCAATATCCATCGTAGATTTCAAATCGTTAGGTGCGATGTGTGGTCGTGTTAGCAGCACAATAGTGTGGCTATTTTGAAACTAATTGGCAGAAAGGGTTGCGAATTAACGTCAGGGCCAACGTGTCGTGGCAGCCGGCTTTGTGCCACCGACGCTTGATAAATAAGAATAGGAATTATAATAATATTAAGACAGATTATTTTACACCTATTATAGAAGCTTAAACGGGTACTCCGAACGTCTAAGCCGTTTATACTTACATCCGCAGTTGAATAAATTATATCAGAATGGACTGTGTCGCTAATAAATAACAATGTACCCGTCATACACGTCTGTCAATACCAAATGCGACCTTTTACTTTGTCCTACATTAGAACAAATGCTAAGCTCAATTAGCTTTTGAATTCCACTTGAGCCATGTACGGTGTTCATTACCATTAGAAGGAACATGACATACGTATGAGCAGTCCCTAAGGCCTCATTACACGGAACACGACTGGCCAATCAGCCCGAACGATTGTTAAGAGACTGATTGAAAGCCGCGCGGTTTCGCACGGGATTGTTCAAGATACGGCCCGCGATTAAGCCGGTATCGCATCACCGGAATGGTTACGAACTTAGATCGGCTATCGAAAGTAACTTCGCGTTCAATGTTTTCGAAACAACTTTCACGATGTTTACTTATTGTATTCATACAATAACTATTTAAAACAAGCCACCATTTTATGAATACCTATACGAAATTTTAATGAGCAATGTCTGCGACAAAGCATTTGTCTAATATGCATTTTTATTGATAAAATATGTTTTCGAAGTATGAATAAAATCCGTTGAATAACGTAGCACATAACTATATTTTAAGTTCTTTGTTCTCGAGTTCATCGTCAAGCACCACTTTAAGCTTCGCTGCTCGTTCTCCGATATAAAACTCGATGGCGACTCAAAAGCTATGTATTATGCATTCGTGAATATAAGCCGCATAAAGCAGCGTCCGAATCAATTACAGAGCCGGGCCGGGCTCGTTAGAAACGCATCACGCATGTACAATCGCCTCGCAGTAAGGTAAACACTGTTTATCTGGTGCTAACCTATTGTGAACAATGGGACTCCCAATTTGGGTCTGCAGCTCGACGAGATCGACCGATCATGTTTTACTTTTCGTCTCTCCAATGTATTTAAAACATTGACTTTATCTTTCTGCAATGTAAACAACACATCGATGAATAACAACACATGTTACACACATATTTGTACAGTTACAAGGACAGAGTTGAAAAACCGTGTAAAAATTGTGGCTCGGGCAAAAGGTCAGTTCACGGCTGCGGGCCGACCCTCGGCCCTTGATGTAAGTGGATTAACCCCTTTACAACGCGTCCGAGTGTCACACGACCGTGTGTCGGCAATGTCGATATTTGATGCGCCGCGATGCGATTTTGCAATCCACTTAGCCATATGATACGTAGACAGATGCAGGGTAATAATGGGGATAAACCCTAATTATAATAATTAAACGGATTACTAAATATTATTGTTATTGATTTGTATTTTTCCTTGTTACAGGACCTACTGTCAACCCCGCTGCTCTCCAACCACAACCACAAGGCTTAATAGTAGAGACGGGGAATGGTGCCAGCGTACTGCAGCTGCCGGCCACTACTTTGGAGCAAATACGGCACATCGCAGCCGACCCCGGAGCGTCCACACTGCGCCTGCCACCACCCGCTACTGAAGCTCCGGCGGGTGCTCGCGAACTCGACTTCGATCTATGCTACGTGTGCAAGCACTGTAAAGTAGCCTTCCCTTCGCCAGCGCCACTGCAGGTTCACCAAGCGCGTTCGTGTTACGCGGGGCGCGAGGCGGCACGTGGCGTGATCCGCGTGGTGCAGCCCGCCCTCGAATGTCGCTCTTGTCCCGGCGAACGCTTCCGCACTGCACTGGAGTTTCGCCGCCACGCAGACACTGAGCAACACCTCCGCAACACCATGCCACAGCCGCAGCTGGTACAGCAGCCAGAAACCCTCACTCACGAGATGGAGGATGTAGTGAACCAGATCACGCTGCTGGCAGCCCGCGCCGCGCAGGAAACCGCTCCACCCAAGGACCCGAACGCTAACTTCTGCGCGCCCGGGCCACGCTTCCAGCCCCCCGGCGAGCTCCCCCTAGCGAGCGCCGGCCACTAATCCTACTCTGATGAAATGTATAGTTACTATCTATTAGAGCCCCTCGCTCTCTCCGTTGTCCGACAACGCAGCAGTTCACTATTAGCTCTTAACGCTTCTTTTCGTTGATGAATGTCGCCGCAGAAGCGGCACTTTCCTAGTTATATTTAAAGCTTGTAGTCGTTTAAGTATAGGTTAATAGGGAGCCGGCCGCGGCGACCGTCGAGTGGCGGTCGCAGGCAAGCGCTGCTGGCCAGCCGGCTCCCGCGCCGTCGCCGCGCACTGGGAGGCGGCGGCGGCGAGCGCGCCCAGCCGCGCCGCGTGCCCGCACTTCATATCATACGTTAGACAGGTTTTATTATATACGTTTATCGTTGCGGTAGCGCGCGCGCCGCGGCTGGAGACGCGCCTCACACTCTCAACATCAATTCCCAGGAAAGCAAGTTCCTATCTTTATGGCATATAATATTATCGATATTGATAATTACGATTTAATTATTGTTTAAAGCTATGTAATACATACATATAATCGTTCTAATTTTAGGCATAGATACGTTCTCGTAAGAAGTTCCTGACGCATCGTAAATGTATGGAGATATATATAGTGATATACGTATATGATTTTTTTAAACATGAAGCGAAGTTAGGTACGTATGTTAGGCAGTAGAGCGGTCGTCCTCTCTCGCGGGTTCCACGCTCAGGAAACGGCGTGAACTCACGCAAACGCAACTGAATCTTTATGGAAATACGTTGAGTATTGTAGTGCGGCTTGTCGTTCGCACAGTGCCGCATCGCGTGAGCACGCTGATGTGCACTGGACGGCGCCGCACACTGCACGAACGCGCGACGCCGCGGCTACCGTCGGTACCGCGCGCGACCCGCACTAGCGCGCAGAGCCGCCCGCGGAGACGCGACGACACCGCGTAGGCTTATTGGTAACACTTAATTATAATGATTATTATCGTAGCAACTTTTCCAAAACGAACGAACTCGAAACTCGGGCTGCGCGCTAGCGCTCAGCCTACCTCGCAAACAAGTGAGTTTATTTTGGAACTAAGTGTGATTCTTGAATTTTTATTGATATTGTAATGATTATTAGTAGTGGCGTAAGTGAGTCCAGTGTCCGAAGGCGTGGGGGGTTGGGGGCGGCGGGCGACGCACGGCTCGCTCGTCGCCTCCATCTTCGACCGCTTTACCGAGTGCGTGGAGTCCTAATATTTTCGATGGCACAGATCACGTTATTAAAAATATTTTACATATTTACATTTTATCTAGCGGAGTGTACTACAATATTTTATCTAAGAGTGAATCCTACTACAAAATTGAGTTTGTTTTTTTATAAAGTGCAATGTTTTATTCCACCGGTTGCCGGCGGTCCTTGTTATGTGTATACATACTGGTGTGTGTGCAATGTGCCGATGTTCGGGCGCGCCGCCTCTCTCCTATCGCTTTACTACTCCCAGCGGCGTCTGGGGTTACACGTCAACCTTATTATTGCAAAAATTACATTTGAAATTGAAATAGATTTTATATGATGCTGGAGTGAATACCAACATAACTAAAGTGTATATCCAAATATTGATATCTTGAGATAGTACATGGAATGTGTATGCGATGGCACAGCTGGAGATGGGAGAGATGTGGCGCGCCGGAGCACTGTTATACGCGAAGGCGCGCGTCTACAACACAATTATTTTGTTTGATTAGTGTTTAATGTATCTGCGAAGTGGTTACTGGTTACTGGTTACGCTCAGAGCTCCACCGCGACGTGACGACGGTCGCTCGCGTTCCGTACTCGATGTTTCTTTAATTTGTTTGTACTCGGGAGTATATGTACGTGTAAGTTTGAGTTAGTGTAGGTGGACGTGTGGGTAGTGCGATGTTGTGTCTCCGCGCGGCGAGAGCCCGCGGAATGAATCATGGTTCCTATGTATATTTCAATATTATCGCATCTAGAGTTTCACTATACTTTCCGAATACAAATTTTAATATTTAAGATTAATTCGGACTAGTCTGTTGTGTCTGCTGCTAGAGGTGCCGCCACGGCCATGTTGTTTGTTTATTTGTATAGTACTATTTCCTTCACTCTCCTACTCTCATGTATAACATTTATTTCTGTTAATAGTGAAACATTTTTGTAGACTTTTGATGCCCTCTAGATATTACATAATGTTGGTTACGAATATTAGTTTATGATCGTAAAAAGGTAGCATTCATGTCTATCATAGTTCCTAATACTGTATTGTAATACTAAAGTTATTTTAAAATTCTTTACTAGTAAAATATACCGTTCCTACTATTTTAAATCTGTAACAAGATGTTAAATGTATACACGAAGTAAATGTCAACATTGATTTTGAATTTTGTTAATATGTTATATGAGATGTTCTCTGTAATTTATTTTTGGTACAATCGAGAAAAACTCCTTTTTTATCTAATTATAGAGCTAAAGTCTGTTATACATTGTACGCGGATTTTTCAGAATTAATATATCACTTGACTAATGGGAATTTTCTCTGAATGTACCTCTATGAATGTTAAAATATAATTTACAATATTTTACTTGTCTAGTTGGATGTGAAACTGTCAACTAAATAGATGATTTCGTAGCGATTAGTTTGAGTTCGTCCCGCATGACGTGTGCGTAGCAACTCTCTACGCGCGTGCTACGCGCCTACGACGCATGCCATACGTAGCCGACAACAGATTACGAATACATTGTCAAGTGTAAATGGTAAAAATAAACTCAAAGTTAGTTTATCAGACACTCGAGTTTCATTTATTTACCTTATTAAAGTGTGTTCTATTTATAGAACATTTTCATGCTACCGTTCATTACATAGGTGGAACTTTCGTAAGTATTACAACATAAAATTAATCTGAAATAATATTTTTTGAAACATTGTACCTACAGCACAACTTTTCAATTATTTTCACTGTTGTTTATTATATGAGCTGTTTATTATCAATAATATTAAAGTGATAATGAGTATACTGCTTAAATAACGAACATTATCGCAGAAAATATCTAAAACTTAATATTTGAAAATAGAATCAACTCTTTTTCGAACAAAGGGTTTTTAATCAGGCAACAGGTGATCGTTACAAATAGTGTCCGTAAATATTATAACCGATTATATGAATTATAATCAATTTGTGCAGAGAAAGCATAGAGGTAATTCTTAAAAGCTTTCTCTTTGAATGATTGGCTGAGTTTTATTCGTACATCTCTGGGTTTTAGCATTATTTAGACCTCTTTATTATATTAGGAATAAACCTGCAATTATAGTTTTGGGAGATTCTTTATAATTAAATAAATACTTAATGTGAGATGACAACCGTTGGAGTCATCAACACAGCCTGTTCTTGATGAACTGATGGCCATGTCTCTCTAATGGCACGCCGTTGAACTAGATCTTCAGCTCTACGCATCCAATCACTATTAGCCACCTAGCTGATATCGTCACTCCACCTAGCTGGAGAGCACCCTACACTACGTTTGCCTTGTTATCTTGCCTTGTTAAAGTACAGTTGGAGTTATAGTATTAAATACCAAACAATATTTAAATACGTAGAAAATAATAAATGCGGAGAAGTCACAACATACCTACATACCTGCTATTTTCCGAAGAAGTAAGTATATGTAAGTATATATATTTTGAGTGTCTTAGCATTTCCTTATAATATAAAAAGAATCTGATATTGTATTTGAATCAGGGCTATTACTGAGAATTTTTAAGTCGTAGACTAGACGTTAGTCCATGCATCTCCTTTACATTAGAGTGTTTACTATAATTTGTTTGACAAACAAGTGTTGACCGTAATGTTCACTGTCCAGTGCCACTGATAAATTATCGAGATTAGAAATACCTAAGATATTAATTATGATCTAAGCTATTCACGTAAATATTGATTTTAAAAGATTTTAACGGAAACCTCGTTAGTTAGATCACTATAAAATATCATCAGAAAATTCAGTATAAGATTAGAATTAATACAAAATATTAATTAAACGGTGATCGGTTTTAAAATACGCATTTCTGTGCGTATTTTAATAATTTCCTTCTGGAAATGTTTAAAAGTGGGAAAATAATACATAATTTTGCAAGCAAAGTCACAGCACACAACTACGTAATATTCATTAAATTATAATCTCTGGTTAATATTGACGGTTGTATATAAACAGGCTAGTTACGTCAATAGTAAACTGTCATTTGACAAACTGACGGCTCAATTGAGTAGATCGTGGGGTTATTTGAACCTTGTACATATGTATTGAGCTATTGAGTTAACTCGAACAGGTTAACTAGATATACACAGTGATATGAGTTAAAACAATTGATCTGGTTCGGAATTTATTAGAATTACTAATTTCCCTTCAAACCTTCAAGAAAAGAGCGTACTCCTTTTTAAAAGGCCGGCAACGCACCTGTGACTCCTGTGGTGTTGCGGGTGTCCATGGGCGGCGCTGACCGCTTACCATCAGGTGATCCGTATGCTCGTTTGCCTCCTATTCCATAAAAAAAATCATTTTGATACTATGTAGATAGAACCTTTTCCTAAGTTATATCTAAAACACCAGTGCCATACGGTAAAGGAAAACATCGTGAGGATACCAGAGCTTATAATTCCTAAGTACAAGTATGCAACCACCGCCACAAAGAGCCATCAGACAACCACACACAGATGGGGCTCAAAAGGCTGATGCGGAAGACTTAACGGGTTTCCGGATCTCCGGCTCGAAGTGCAGGAGTAGGAACGGGGTGGTTTTTAGTCAGTAAGAGTCTGATACTCCCTCTCGCCTCGCCCGGGAGAGAGAAGCCATTGGATGATTTTCCCTTCTTAATAAAAAAAGCTTAATAAAAAAAGCTTAATAAAAAAAGCGTGATGATTAATGCTCATTCCTTCTCCGTACCAGAAGAGGCGTTTGCTCAGCAGTAGGCATATATTGGCTGGTTATGTCATGTAATGTGACTATATAACACAAATTGTGCAATAAAATTCTTTGCTCTATGAAGGTAATAAGACTGCTAAACGCAACTTTTTGGGTTCGATTCTCAGGTTGCGTTATCAAGATAGTCATTGATAGACTAAACACAGTGTCATGAGTTCGATACTCAAGTTGTACAAATTAATATTAAGTAAGTACTTCAGTTCTGAAATTAGGTAGCAGCACGATGTTTGTTTATATAACAATAGTGCCTTGTGGTTAAGAGAGTATATCAAATATGTGGATCATAATGTCATAAATAGAAAGAATAGTGTGCCCAATATCACCTTCGTACCATTATTTCGACTGTAAGAAGCAAAATATTTGGTAAAGTTCAGTTACTTAATGCAACACAAACATAACATCACGCTTTTTATCCCCGAAGGGGTAGGCAGAGATGCACATTACGGCACTTAATGCCACTGTACAATGTAACACCCACTTTTCACTATTAATGTTATGAGTCCCATGTAATAGGGGGTGAGCCTATTGCCACTTATACACATATACCGGGCACAATTCCAGACTCCGTACTTCTACTGAGAATGTTTTAAAAACCCAGTAATACTTTGCCCGACCCGGGAATCGAACCTGAGCCCCTTGCCCAGCAGTCGCACTTACGACCACTCGGCCAACGAGGCAGTCTTACTAATACTACTACTTATTGCAACAGACTGATAATTTGACATTTCAATTGAAATATCATCGGGCATAGTGCAAATCCAAACTAGCATTGGATAATTCCGCGTGCTAACAAATGCAGATAATTCAGGTTTTCGTAGAAAAATATCGTAAAATCTTAATTGTCTGCCACTATCTTGACACTTTCATTTCAATTTCTTTTTAATATTATGTAAAAATGAACTTCAAATTAATTGAATTAATAAACTTATTAAGTTTTAACCTGTACAACTGGATCTATTGCGGGTATGCAGCCTTTACGTATGGTAGTTTTGCTAATTTGCGCTATACCCGACGATATGTTATTATATTAACCAAAAATTTAACTTTTTTAAACATCCTCTTATTAATATATATTAATATAATTACTTTAATAAAAGCCAACTCGCAAGTAGCTAGAATTAGGTAAGTATGCTAAAAGCTCTCAGCCGAAATGTGCACTTTTAATAAGAACGTAGTATATATAGTATTATACCTACGCCCAAGTACATGGATGGATATGAAGTAGGTAATACCATTTTTTATTGAATAGGGGCTATTAATTGACCAGCTATTTGACTATAGGTTTATTACAAAATACGTGTCTCAACATCTCTGGATATTGTTATTGTAATGAAACATATACTGTAGAACTAGTAGTACTGAATAGTACTTAAATGTTAACATTCTGATTCTATCGAGGCCCCGTAAAGGTATGTATCTTTTGATTCCACGAACGTTTGTATTAAAAAATGACATTTTTTATAATTATTTTCAAATTAAAATATGAGATTCAAACGTATGTATTATAAAATATAATAATTTTCTTGTAATAAAACTTCTCGTGTCAAATAACTTCGCTGAAGGACTTCGGTTACCATAGGCACATACATACTTAGAATTATAATCATAACTTGAATAATATGAACTTTTAATGCCCCATACACTTCCAAGTATATTTTTATAACCTTCTTTATTAAATATCATTGTTTATTTTAAACCCCCCGATAGCCATTTACGGTCTATTTCTATAATCTGATGTATTTCTAATTTCAAATATACTTAAACAATAAATCGGAATGGAATTTTCTTATTTCACCGCATTATAAGTACTGAGCATAAAATGAACTATAGAAAACTAAAGAAAATTGAATTTTATATCGTTTTATAATCTATACTGAGGTAATCTAAAAGTTTAATCCCATCTTTGTACAGCTCCTGGCTACACTTACCTATGCTTCATATTTATCAGACGTAGGCACCGACATGACTTTGAACTCACGTATATAGATTTTTAAACCTTAGTTTATAATAACATCGAGACCAATTTAGATGAAATATCATTTCGAAAAATAAAACGAAAGCTATCGACATTCCACTCCAACGGTTGGTAAACCAAAATAAAATTAAATAAATGACGCAGACAGGTACCTAAACAGAAAATATTTACGCAATTTACCAAAATATTCAAATCAAAACACGAACTCGAAAATTGTATCAACACGCGAAAAATCACGCAACATAACCAAAAAGGCGCACGAATCAAACAAATATTGACACACGTTTATGCAAAAGCAAAAAAAATCAAGAGACAAACATTTATTACCAAAAATCACGAAATAACGAACGCGAACTATTTCGAACGACGTCAAGTTCAAAAAGCCGCACGGAGCGTCTCTAATCACGCTGTTTGAACAAAAATGTAAAAAACAACCCTTAGCCGCTTCGATTGGAGAAACTGTCACACGGCTGGATGCAAAGGGGATCTCACTAAGTTATTGATTATATCGGAATAAGTCGCTCGCGGGGTTGTGTCTCCTCGCACCCCACCGCCCACTGCCGGGGGGTTACGATATATCGGCCGCATTATTTTACATATATGAGACATAGTTGCAGCTAGTAATTTACGCTCGTACTGTATCGAGTAGATAATCTTAAATTGGATCTTACTTTAGGGATTTGATAGTTATGGTGTGAGTTTTTGAAAGAAATTTGTGCTTGATGCACATTTTCGACTTAATACGTTATGGTATTAAATTTTCCAAACCAAATGATATCTCCTCTGATTTTCCCCGCACTAGCAGGTGGAGTTCACGCACTTTTGGCAGTTACATT